TACTTTAAATTTAATAGCCATGTATTTGAGTTTAAAGTATTTTGGAAAAATATAACTACAACTGCCAGGTATGGTGGCACACACTTTTAATCCCAGCACTCCAGAGACAGAGGCAGTGGATCTCTGTGAGTTTAAAGCCACTCTGGTCTATATAGTGAGTTCCAGGGCACAGGACTACACAGCAAGGTCTTCAAGTAACTGCACTGTGGAGGCCAAACTCACTAGTCCATCCATGCAGAACATCCTTTGCTCTGGGTCTGTGCTCCCTATTCAAGCTTCTGACACATAAGGTCCTGCCCACAAATACCTATGAATCAACGGATAGCTAGGCTCACATAGTCTCTGTTGGGGCCTGGTTAGTGTTAGCAAGCCCCCAGAAAAAAAGAGTTGGCCAGTCTTTGGCTAGGAAGCCACTGAGGGACAGTGAGCTTGCATACACTGAAATTTAAAAAAAAAAAAAAAAAAGTCTGTATTCAGACACCAGGCATGGCTACACATAATTCTGGGACCATGAGAAGTTCCTGAAAGCCACTATGGCCTCCTCTCCATGAGAAAGTAACAAAAGAAGGCAACCTTTAAGCTAGGCAGGCTCAGTCTGTATTTAGGGTTTGGGTACCATAGTCCAACATCCTCCCAGCCTATCTAAACCAGGGCTTCATTTAGGAACATTCATCTACAATATGATACAACTGAAGGTAATACAAGCAGATACCCAGTGGCCTGTAAATCTACTAGTAGGGGCAGCGTGTAGCTGGAATTTCCAACCCCAATAAGCCCACGTAAAAACCACACAATCCAGTTATAATTATAAGCTATCAGCCTACATTGGGCAGATCTAACACCACACTGACTTATTCCCCAGCTGTAAGACCCCTTGTTACTTGTGGTTTCTCCTGGCTACGTGGTTCTGCTCCATCATAGCTTCTTCCTCCTTTTCTTCAGTCCTCTCTCTTTCTCTTCTCCTCTCTCCCTACCCCCACTCTCAAACCTCCAGCTCCACCTTTACCCTCCACTGCCCAATCACAGGCTCTAACCTTTATTAACCGATTAAAATAAAGAAAAAACTCAAATAAAATCATCTAAATACATGATAGACTGATCATCAAAACAACCTCTCTTTAGGAAACAAAATTAACATCAAAATACAAACAACATCAAAACAACTCACAACACAGGGTACCTCAGGAAGGATGTCAAGGGTTCCTTACCTTTGCCACAGGCAGCTTTCAAAAAGAATTCACAGACAGCAGCCCCCGACTCTGTAAAAGGAAAGAGACAGTTATCAGCTAGGGCAATGCAATAAGACCCTGTCTTAAAGCAAAAGCCACTTGTTTCAGTCAAACTTTTGAAATGTGACTGTATTGTGACACTAAACATCTGAGAATCTCCTGGAAGCCAAGAGTTTTCAAGACATTTAAGAATGGGTGGAGAAGAAAAGAAGGAACACAAGATCAGAGAAATAATTACCCCCAGCTCAGCCCTCCCATGGGGGTTAATTTACAGGTATATTAGTATGAGACAGAGAAAAGGAATGAATGGTCTCACAGGAAATAACAAACACTAGAAGAGGCCTCTGAACAGGAAAGATTCCAGAGCAGGCAGGTGCCTCTTTAGACATTAGCCTAGTGGAAGAACATAATGGCAGATCAAGTAGGCCAGCCTTTACTATGCAACGTCTACATAGAATTATAAAGGAACATGGCCATTCATCCCCACAAGTGCAGCCAACTCTGGGATGGTAGTAATCTACAGAGCCAGAATGTGGCAGCAGTCAGTGAGTCCAGAAATTCACCAGCCATGATTGCAGAACAAAATCTTGGATTCATAGTTTTCACTGATTCATCAGCATACATTTTCAGAAAACACTAAACTTTAAAAAAAAAAAAAAAAAAGATGGCATTTCTTTTTTCTCCTTTTCCCCAGAGACAGTGTTTCTCTGTGCAACAGCCCTGGTTATCCTAGAAATTGATTTGTAGTCTAGGCTAGCCTCAATTTCAGAGATCTGCCTGGCCCTCACTCCCAAGTGCTGGGATTAAAGGCACAAGCCACCACTGAGTAGCTGAAATGACGTGTCTTAAACCCACTCATGTACCTCCTCTTGCTAACTTCCAAGAGATTCAGTGGCTTCACTGAAGCAGGCAGGTTTTTCGAGGCCAGAGTTAAAGTGGTAGAATGCAGAGATGTTGCTGGGCGTGATGGTGAACACTGGTGATCCCAGTACCTGGGAGAAGGAAACTGAGGCAGGAAGACTTCAAGTTCAAGAAAAGCTATATGGTATATTCTAGGCCAGCTGTGGTTATATAGCCAGACTGTCTCAAAGGACAAAAACAAAAAACAGGTAAAACAAAGGCTGGAGATGTAGCTCAGTTGGTAGAGTACTTGACAAGTGTCTTAGTTAGGGTTGTATTTCCTGCAACAAAACAGCATGAGCAAAAAGTGGAGACGAAGTTATTTATTCAGCTAACACTTCCACATTGCTGTTCATCCCCAAAGAAAGTCAAGGCGGGAGCTGATGCAGAGGCCATGGAAGGGTGGTGCTTACTGGCTTGCTCAGTCTGCTTTCGTACAGAACCCATGACCACACTGGGCTGGGCTCTCCTGCACTGATCACTCATTGAGAAAAGGCCTTACAGCTGGATCTCATGGAGGCATTTCCTCAAGGGAGGCTCCTTCCTCTCTGATGACTCTAGCTTGTGTCAAGTTGACAGACAAAATTGGTCTGTACAACATGTATTCACAAAGCTCTAGGCTCAGTCCTCAGCACTACATGAATTGGAAATGGAGGTGTAAGTAATTTTGGCACTTTGGAAGTAGAGAAAAGGAGGGTCAGGAGTTCAAGCACCCCTGACAACATAAGCAACTCCAGGCCAGCCTAGCCTACCTGAAATGGTCTCAAAAGCTAAACAACACAATCTAAGAATAGTTGTGATCTTTTTTTCTATCTAGAAGTTAGTCTTGCTTCCTTCCTCAAGTCATGGGGATTGGGAGGACGGATAAGAACACATCTTCAGGGCAGAATTTACATTTCTCAAAGAGCATCACAGGAGGGTTTGCAGCCTTGCCGGGCTTTGACATACCCAACACAACCACAAACAAGAAGTGAGTGCCTAGGGCATCTACCAAGTCTGGAACTGAGCTTGAGAGGTACCCATGCTATGCACATCCCTGGCTCGCCAAGGGAGCCTTTGGCTACTTCATGGATTCTTTTATGGTCTACCTTCTCCACCCTTTCAACCTCCTAACACTAGATAGGAGAGGAAAAAAGGACAGAGGGGAGAAAGGGGGCAATGTCATTGTTAGACTGCTTCTTGCTGATGGGGGGAAGTTTGATCTTTGCTGTCAGGATACCTAATTTCTTGTTGTTTCTTTTTTCTGTGCACAACTACTTAACAACCCTTGACCAACCAACGACCCATACTCTTGGGGCCCTAGCATTTATATACCCTCTTAAGAGTCCTCCGAATTCCAAATGTCACACAGTGGCAAAAACTATCTGCCACTGGCAGTATCACACCCCTGCTAGAGCACGAGGCAAATCATAGTCAGCTGCTATGGACAATCTGAAGCAGCCCCAGGTCTCACACCTGGAATTAAAATAAAAACATATTCCTATTTCTGTCCTTTTTTAAAGAAAACCAAATTTTCACTTCAAGTGCACACTTGACTCCACAGGTTTGTGGACCTATTGTGTCCAGTGGGAGTTAAAGAGCTGACCCACACAAATGTTCCATAGTCTCAAGGCAGCGCCATCAAATCGAGTAAAAGCCTAGTGCTTAAGAGTAGACATATGTGCCGGGCGGTGGTGGCGCACGCCTTTAATCCCAGCTCTTGGGAGGCAGAGGCAGGCGGATTTCTGAGTTCGAGGCCAGCCTGATCTACCGAGTGAGTTCCAGGACAGCCAGGGCTATACAGAGAAACCCTGTCTCGAAAAACCAAAAAAAAAAAAAGGAAAAAAAAAAAGAGTAAACATATGTGCAAGAACGACCTGGCCAAAGAGGACAGTTATGTCTGAATTGGAGCGGCTCCCCAAAACGAAAGATACATCCCACCAGAATGGTAAAATCATCACGTGAAGAGGAACAGTAAAGGTAGTTCGGTCTAAAGGTTCCCTGGGGACTTGTGTTGGGACAGGTGACCCAGAGGTGGGGTAGTGAGAAAAATGGACAAGTCCGGGACAAGGAAGGATTTCCCAGGAGTTAGACTCAAGCAAGCCTGGAATATGAAGGTCTACTCGGAGTCCTCGACAGTGAGAGATCCTCATACTCTCCTAACACTTAGTTCTGGCGAAAGTAGAAAGGAGCACTCTAAGAGGTGGAAATGGGGTTCATTCTAAGACTTTGCTGTAGTTGGAGCAGGATGGGAGAAGGGAGTTCCACTTCAGGATAACACGCGTTCACTCAAGAATTACGCGAACAACCGACACAGTCCTGTTGTCCCAAAGATTGCCACGGCGCAGTCCCCGGGGATCAAGGATCCAAGGAAAGGTCTCCCAAGTTCAAGTGACACCGGGAAGTCCCAGAACGGAAGCGGAGGAACTAGGCGAGAGTGAGGGTCCCGGAGCCCACCCGCCGGGCCCCGCACTCACTATCCATGCCGGGGAAGGGCAGCGGCTGCGCCCCGAGCTGCTGCTCCACGGCAATTTCCAAGTCGAACTTGATGTGATCCACGCTGGCGATGATTTCCTGCATGGCGGCGGCGGCGGCCTCGGGCCCAGCTCCTCCTCAGGTCTCTCAGCCGCTCTCCGAACTTCACACTACCTCTCCCTGTCCCCCTTCTCGCTTGCCGCCGCCGCCGCCGCCGCAGCCGCCGCCCCGAGAGGGATGCCGGGAGCGTCTGAACCCGCGCCGTCCCTTTTTTCCCATCCAGACTCAGCCAATGGAGCTCAGAGTCCTGCCACGCCTCCAAGCCTGGCTAGCCGCTGACCGATCGCCTGCTTCTTTCGGTTCGCGGTTCGGCGTCTTACAGAACGTGAGGCGGCGACGCAAAGTGCGCCTGCGCGTGATCTCCCCGTGTGTGCTGAGTGTAACAACCGAATCTCTGAGGCCTCCGTCCTTCGACTCTGAGGACGTCTCACTAGGGGCTCGCTGCTTAGAACGCACAGAGTGAGTTTCTGTTCAACCCTCATAGGAATCCCGGAAGCCGGGCCGAAATTGGACCTGAGGGACTCTGTCCAAGCTCAGGCGTCAGATGAGAAAACGTAGGCTCTGAAGGTCTGGGAAGAGGAAGCAAGGAGCGACCCTAGGGTCCCAGGTCTCCCTGTGGATGTATCTCTAATGCAGACATTTAAAAGTCGGGGTAGGGGGGTGGAGGTGTGGCTCAGTTGGTAAAGTGCTTGCCCCAGCACCGCATAAACCGGTAGTGTTAGTACATACTTGTAAACCCAGTAAGTGGCAAGTGGAGACAGGAGGATCAGAAGTTCAAGGGCAGCCTGCATTACATGAGACCATGGAGAGCGAGTCAACCTAGTAGAGCTAAGCTTTAAAATACCTGCATACCTATTTGTCTTGTTTTTTACGTTTTGTTTTGATTTTTGTTGTTGTTGTTTATTTTATTTTCTATTAAAAAGGATTCAGAGTAAGCAGGCTGAACTTTCTACCCCAGCTCAGCCTAGTAAAAATAGAATGCTAGGATGGGAGGCTGTTGCTCTGTGGGAGAGAGAGTACTTACATTCACCCTGGATGTGAAGTCCAACACAACCTGATTCATAAAAATGCCAACAAATAACAAAACCCAAGTGGCGCTTGCTTGTAATCTTAGCACAGGTGAGGCTAAGATGAGTTTGAGGCTAACCAAAGCTATCTGACCTAATGGGGACCCTGTCTCAAATGGATGCGCCAGGGATGTAAGTCAGCAGTGAAGCTCTAACTTCAGCTTCCAGTACCACAGAAGGAAAAGCAAAACAAAACCACACGCTCATATATAATTTTCTGGTTTGTTTGTTCCTTCCTATTTTTTTTTTTTTTCGAGACAGGATTTCTCTATGTAGCCCTGGCTGTCCTGGAACTCACTCGGTAGACCAGGCTGGCCTCAAACTCAGAAATCCGCCTGCCTCTGCCTCCCAAGTGCTGGGACTAAAAGCATGCGCCACCACTGCCCGGCTTCGTCTCTCCTTTCTGACTTTTATATGGAGGGTGATGCAGTTTCCTCGTTTTTTCTTGATTCCAGGTCGCAGTGGCTTAAGGTGGCCAGTGATGGACCTCATAAGACTCTCCCGGCTCTTTTCTGGTCCCCACCCCATAGGACTGTCTGTTCTTCAACATCTGGATCTTCTTGGACCTACCCGATGGACAGGAGGCAGGAGGGGACCTGCTCGGCTGAGGGCCTCCTTCTGTGGCTCTTCCTCCCTCCTGCCTCTGGGCAGAGGGAGTCAGAAGAAAATGAGCACTCTCTGCCCTGACTCCAGTAAGCTCAGCACTGAGGCTCCTCAGGAGGAGGAAGAGGAGAGCTTTGGAACCCTCTCTGACAAATTCTCCTCCCGGAGAATATTCCACAAATCAACAGCCCAGCTCTATAACCTGAAGCTCAAGGAACGGGGTGTTGAGAAGGAAGAATTGGAGCCCAGACTGTGGCGGGGCCAGAGGAACACTCCATACTGGTACTTCTTTCAGTGCAAACGTCTGATCAAGGAAGGAAAGGTCTGAGAATGTGATGTGATTTAGCTTGTGTCCCTGGCCCTTTAAGAATTCTTAGCTGTCAGAACTGCTTGACCCTATGCCCTTCAGTGTTGGATGCCCCTTGGATTTCTGGGGACAGAATAGGAAATACATAGAAAGCCGGCTGTGGGTGGGGGCTAGCAGAGTGAGAAGAGAAGGTAGTTAGTGAGGACATTGTTAGGAGACAGTTGAGCCCACTGGAGCTGAGCTGAGCAGATAGGCCAGAACAGTTGTTATAGCTTGGAGCTGCTAGTATTGGGGAAACTACTGGGAAGGGGCTGCTTAAGCAGACTGTCGGGAACTGAGGGAGGCACAGTTGGGGGAGACATTTGAAGGGGCTGAGCTGGAAACCGGGAGGAGGGCAGTCAGGGAGTTAAGAGAACTGGTTACTGTTGTAAAATAGCTAGGCATTTTACATGCGAACTTTGAGGTTTTCCTTCTGCTGGGTTGGCATTTCATGTGGGGCAGTGCAGGCATCTCGGCTGTTGAAGTTGGGGTGTTCAGTGCTGAGTCCTTGGATCTCTATTGCTGTGTGTGTGCACGTGTGAATGTGTGTGCCATGGTATACATGTGGAAGCCAGAGGACAATGTATAAAGCTAGGTCTTCCATAACACCTTTATGTGCGCCACAGGGATCAAACTCTGGTCACTCATATTGCAAGTGCCTTTATCTGCTGAACCATATTGCTAGCCCCTTACCTATCTTTAAATCACTACATGGATCATGATTTATTCTTAACAGTTTGACCTCTAAACTGTTGCCAGCTCTAACTAATTTTCATTCTTTCAAGGCTGTCTTGCTGGGTAGCCATGGCTGATTGGTACTCACTATGTAGCTCAGGATAGCCTGAAATGTATAATCTTCCTGTGTCTCCTTCTTGAGTGCTGGGATTACTTATACCCAGCTTATTTTATTATTTTATACCCTTTTCACATTCTCTCTCTTTTTGGCTTTTCGAGACAGGGTTTCTCTGTGTAGCCCTGGCTGTCCTGGAATTCACTCTGTAGACCATGCTGGCCTCAAACTTTGCCCTCTGCCTTCTAAGTGCTAGAATAAAGATCTAGCCCAATTTCCTTTTTTTTTTTTTTGCTTGTTTTGAGGAAATGTTTTGTGAGTCCCAGGCTGTTCTAAAACATGCTGTGTAGCCTTGAATAGCTTTGATCCTCCTATCAAAGGTGTGCCCCACTCTCCCTGGCTTGCTAAAGGTCTCAGAAGCTGTCCTGAGCCCCCTCTCCTGTTGCCTCTTTCCCTAGCTTGCAGAGGCCCTGGATCTGTTTGAGAGGCAGATGCTGAAGGAAGAGCGCTTGCAGCCTCTGGAGTGCAACTACACGGTGCTGATTGGGGGCTGCGGACGTGTTGGGTACCTGAAGAAGGCCTTCAGGCTCTTCAATGATGTGAGTGTGGGTCGGATTAATATGGCCAAAGCTTTGAAGTGCATGCTGGGTGCAGGTCCTGAGCATGATGTCATACAATGGGGCAGATGACATGGGCTTGATGACATTGAATCTAAATTGAGTTCATCTTGGGGCATCAAGTCAGGTGACAGTGACGCGCTTCATGTGCTTGGGTTGCGTGGAGCCCACATGTGCTCTAAACTTGTCTGCTGCCACGCCCAGTTAGTCTGTGTTCCTCTCCACAGACCCCACACTTACACCTGAATCCTGGTCTGTTTCCTAATGAATCAAGAAAGTCTTACCAGGACAACTACAGTAAGAGACAAGCTATCTTTTCCTGGGGCCAGAAGCTCAGGGAGCCCTTGGTCCAGCACAGACTCTGCTAACTCTCGTCCTCATATTTGGTACCCTAGTGTAGTTCTCACAGACTATCGCCAAAGCAAGGGCAGTGTCTCCCTTTCTACATTCATTTCCTTATTTTTATGTGCATTGGTGTTTTGCGTGCTTGTATTTCTATGTGAGGGTGTCAGATATTGGAGTTACAGACAGTAAAGCCTTGTGGGTGCTGAGAATTGAGCCCGGGTTCCCTTGAAGAGCTATCAGGGTTCTTAACCAATGAGCCATCTCTCCAGCCCTTTGTTTTGTTTTTGTTTTTTGAGATAGTTTTACTGTGTAGCCTTGGCTAACCTGGAATTCACTATGTAGACCGGGCTGGCCTTGAACTAAAAGATCCTCTTGCCTGTCTCCTGACAGAGGCATTTGCCAACATGTTTGACAGAACTTCACTTTTTGGCAGGGAGGTTTCTCTGTGTAGCACTGGCTATCCCTTGTACTCACTCTGTACAACAGGTTGACCTTGAACTCAGAGATCTGCCTGCCTCTGCCTCCCAAGTACTGGGATTAAAGGCATGCACCACCACTTTAAGTTCTAAAATTGCACTTCTAAAAGGACATATGAATTGTTGTAATAACTTTTCTAAACCATTTTATCCCTGGTTTCTGAGAATTCACTGGCCTGTGAGCTCTCAGTTAATGAACACTGGTCCCCCTCTCCCAGAATGAACCCACTTTGTGCCCACCCTGGATAGTCAGGGTGAGCTGGGCAGGCCTCAGGATAGGGCTGTTGGAAGCACCTGATACAAGTATGCCAGTTCTAGAATATTCTTTCAAGTGCCCCAGGAGGATGGTTTCCTGCTGGCATTTCTGAGAATACGAGCTCCATTTTTCAAAGCCCTCTGGTAGAGTCAGGAGTTTGGATACTGTATATGAGGTGCTACTTGGGTCAGCCTTAGCTCCTGGGCTAGTTGGATGTGGTAACAAATATTTTTTGGGGCCTTCAAAGTGGCTGCTGATCTCTGTGTCCAGCTTCTCCTAGTCCACCTTCAGTTTTCTCCCATCTCAACAGATGAAGAAGAGAGGCCTGGAGCCCTCGGATGCCACATACACAGCTCTGTTTAATGTCTGTGCGGAGTCCCCCTGGAAGGACTCTGCCCTGCAGAGTGCGCTGAAGCTCCGACAGCAGCTCCAGGCCAAAAACTTCCAGCTCAACCTGAAAACATATCATGCCCTGCTGAAGGTGGCCGCCAAGTGTGCAGACCTTAGGATGTGCCTGGATGTCTTCAAGGTGGGGGCTCCCTTTTTTCCTTGTCTTCAAAGTCTGGTGGGACAAGTGTGAGAGAGACTTAATCTGTCTCCTTACACCTGGAATGTTCGGGAGAGATGAGACAACCTGTGCTTTATGCTGGAATTCACATACAAATCCAACAGGACCTTTCTGTGGCCTCAGTCACAAAGTGGTGGGCTATAAGCAGGAGAGCAAGAGGGTGTCCCTATACTGAGTGGAAGGACAGGTACTGAGAGGTAGGAGTGTCTTTAAGGAGGTCTTGCCCACCTTGACTCTGAAGAGACTCATGGGGACTGTACTTACCCTATACATGATTGAAAGATTGTTCAGACATTCTAGAAGGTGTGTCCTTGCACAAATGAAGAAACTGAGGTTAAAAAGCTTAGGGCCTGTCCTTACCCAGACCAGAAGTTGCCTGCCGGTGGTGTTGTGAAGCTGGTCCTGTGAGTCCAGAACCTCCAGTACTGCTGGGGTCAGCTCTCACACGCCCTTACCTCAGAACAGAGCTAGGACGACAGGCCTAGAGGTAGTGTATATGTAGGGGGCGGTTATGTGCTTCACTTGGGAGCTAGATCTAACTGGTCCCAGGCCCCTGTTCCCTAGAGATGCATAAACCTGGTACTGAACTCGGTCAGACTAGGTCATAGGTTCTGAGTGAGACTGCCTTCTTCTCTTTCCCAGGAAATCATCCAAAGGGGGCATGCAGTCACAGAGGAGACCTTCTGTTTTCTGCTCGTGGGCTGCATCCAGGACAAGAAGACAGGCTTCCGGCAAGCCTTGCAGGTCAGTCTTACCTGTTGCCACGGTTAGCCTTGTTTGGTATCTTAGTCAGGGTTTGCATTCCTGCATAAAACATGACCAGGAAACAAGTTGGGGAGGAAAGGGTTTATTCAGCTTACACTTCCACATTGCTATTCATCAGCAAAGGAAGTCAGGACAGGAACTCACACAGGGCAGGAACTTGGAGGCAGGAGCTGATGCAGAGGCCATGGAGGGGTACTGCTTACTAAATTACTTTCCCTGGTTTGCTCAGCTTGCTTTCATATAGAACCCAGGACTACCAGCCCAGAGATGGCACCACCCACAATGGGCTCTCCCATTCTTGATCACTCATTGAGAAAAGGCCTTACAGCTGGATCTCATGGAGGCATTTCCTCAAGGGAGACTTCTTTCTCTGTGATAACTCCAGCTTGTGCCAAGTTGATACGTAAAACCAGTCAGTACATTTGCCTTTTGTTTTTAAATTATATGTACGTGTGTAGGAGGCCAGAAATGGTCTCCTGAAGCTGGAGTTACAGCCTGTTGTGAGCCAATTCAAGTGGATACTGGGAAATGGTACTCAGGTCCTCTAAAAGAGCAATGTGCTTTCCTAGACGCTGAGCCTCCTCTCCAGTCCACTGTGGCAGGGGTGCTTGTGTCTCAGCCATTGCAGCCTTCATGTAATCATTGTAGGGTGTGCTCTTTTTCAGTTTTGTAGACAGCATGGAAAGGCTTGTGGAAATACTGCCTCACTATCGAAAGCAAAAGTCATTGTAGAAATTATTTAAATCCTGGCCCTTCTGTCCGCCTTAGACCATTTATGTCCCCAGATGAAAGACACACTCATAGCCTTTGTATTTATGATAAGCCTTAAACAGCACAAGATCTGGGCAGCTGCCTACCCTCCATGCTGTTAGAATCTACTTTTATGTCGATAGCCTCAAGGTATTACTTATTATATGTCATCTGGGCTGCCTTAGCTCTAACTGGGCAGCCCTGGGACCATATTCTCTTGACCCTTAACCCATAGGGGCTTCTCCTTCCTCTTCTCCTGCACCTTCTTCTTCCTTGTAGTCCTCCTCTGCTCACAAGTCCGGGAAACCTAAACCCCACCTATGTCTCTTCTGCCCAGCTTTTGGCTGTCGGCATCATTAGTCATCAATTAGAATTACCTTGGGGACAGGGTCACAGGGGCAATGTGCAGACTCCAGGTCTTGGGGGCCCACATGTAGCATTACAATAGACAGTAAAAGACAAAACCTCAGATGGCCCATACCTATCTTGTTCAGACCTAATTTTGGGGTTCCTGACCATTACAGTGTGTTCACTGGGTATATGTTCAATGTACACTTAGTCCCAAAGTGACACACATACAACATACACACACACACATGTTGGATAGAAGGTTAGAGGGTTTCTTTGTATAGTCTTCATAGTCTTCATGGTCCTAGAATTTGATCTGTAGACCAAGCTGGCCTTGAACTTAGAGAGCTCTGCCTGCCTATTTCCCAGGTGCTGGGATTACAGGTGTGTGCCCTCACTGCCCAGCTGTTCTAATCCCATTTCAGATCCCCCAGAGGTAACCCCCCATCATGTGGGAGTGGGTGTTGACATTGCCACCATGGATGTTTTTGGTTTTGTTTTTCTTTTTTTTTTTCTTTTTTCTTTCTTTTTTTTTTTTTTTTTTTGGTTTGTTTTTTTTGAGACAGGATTTCTCTGTGTAGCCCTGGCTGTCCTGGAACTCACTCTGTAGACCAGGCTGGCCACGAACTCAGAAATCCGCCTGCCTCTGCCTCCCAAGTGCTGGGATTAAAGGCGTGTGCCACCACCGCCTGGCTGGTTTTGTTTTTCTAAGTTCTTCCATCTAATGTGATCCACCACAGTTTGAGAGTAGTCCTGTTCAGATGCCCTGTGTCCAGATACACATTTTAGGAAGCTTCCTGGCCAGTTTGCAGAATGACAACCTAAGATCACAAAGTTGTGTCCCCTCTGCAAAGAATTTGGAAGCAGTTGCCAAGACGTAGTAGAATGACCCTTTTAATGCTAATGGCCTGTTTGTGCTGAATCCTTCCTGAGCTGTCTCTTCAAGGCATCAGCCCCTTTTGCAGGAGAGGAAACTGAGGTTCACAGACTCAGCCTACCTGAGATCCCATAGCTTCTAAGAGCTGAGACTTAGGGTTAGGGAGATGGCTCAGAAGGTAAGAGCATTTGCAGTGTAAACACTCAAGAAGCTCAGGACGTGCTCCTGAGTATGTAACCCTAGCTCTTTGAGCAACAATGACATGAGGATTGCTGGGCCTTGGTGGCTGCCAGCCTGGCCCCAGCTTCAGTGAGAGACCCTATCTCAAGCGAATCAGGCAGAGAGGGCACCTGATGTTCACCTCTGGCTTCTGCATATATACTGATGGACATACCCATGTACAACAGCTACCACACATACTACACACTCCACACCCACACCCACACACCACAAACACACACCTACATACCCACACACCCACATCTTAAAATAGAGAAAGAACAACTACTTAAAGTTAAGATTAGCTGGCCCAGAAGGTCTCTGAGTTTGAGGCTAGCCTGGTCTACATTAATAGTTCTAGTTTGAAAGTCTGGAGAGATGGCTCACAGGTTAAGAGTTGCTCTTCCAGACGTCCTGAGTTTGATTCCCAGCAACCACATGGTGGCTCACAACCATCTATAATGAGATCTGGTGCTCTCTTCTGGTGTGCAGGCATACATGCAGGCAGAACATCGTATACATAATAGATAAATAAATAGGAAAAAAAGTTCTAGTTTGAGTTTGAGACACTGTCTCAAAAAAAAAAAAAAGCAAAGCCAAGTTTATCTGGTTCTAGTGTGTGAATCCCTGCCACCACATTTTACTCCAATAGGATGGTATACTAACCATTCCTTAGGAAAGGCTGCCAAGATCTCACCTTACTGAAGACCTTGCCCTAGTAGGCATTGGCCCGTTACAAGGTTTGCCCACCTGATGCTAACCTTCCAATCCTCATCTGCACACCTCTCTCTGATAAGCTAGGGGTTTGATGATGGTGCCCTGGCCCAGGTTGTGTAGGTTCCTGTCAAAACCAAAATATGGGCAGATGAGTTAGTGCTTTGTCTTTAATCCTAGCACCTGGGAGGCAGTGGCATCTCTGAGTTTGAGGCCAACCTGATCTACATAATGACTTCCAAGGCTATATAATGAGAATCTGTCTCAAAAAACCAACTAACCAAACAACCAAACAACAACAAAGGGGGCTGGAGAGATGGCTCAGCAGTTAAGAACATTGGCTGCTCTTATAGAAGACCTAAGTCCAGTCCCCAGTACACCTATAAGGTGTCTTAGTTAGAGTTTTACTGCTGTGAACAGACACCATGACCAAGGCAGTTCTTACAAGAACAACATTTAATTGGGGCTGGCTTACAGATTCAGAGGTTCAGTCCAGTATCATCAAGGTTGGGACATGCCAGCATCCAGTCAGGCATGGTATAGGAGGAGTTGAGAGTTCTACATCTTCATTTGAAGGCTGCTGGTAGAAGACTGACTTCCAGGAAGCTAGAACTAGGGTATTAAAGCCCACATCCACAGTGACACTCCAACAAGGCCACACCTCCAAATAGTACCACTCCCTAGGCCTAGCATATGCAAACCATCACAATATGTATATATGTTTATGTATATATGTGTGTGTACGTGTGTATATATGTGTATGTATATATATGTGTGTGTGTGTGTGTATGTATGTATGTATGTATTTATGTATATGCACATACATGCACGTGTGCAGGGATTGAACCTAGGACTTTCACACCCTTAGTCACATCCTCAGCAATTTTCTTTTCTCTTCTGTGGTGCTATGGTTCTTACATACTAGGCAGTTGCTCCACCCCTGAGCTACTCCAGCTTTCTCTCACCTTATGGGTTTACTGATCTGATGATGAATTCACATTCTGTCAGGGGCCAGCCCCTTCAGGTCTTTCTTGTTGGTTCTTGAGGCAGCAGAGGGGGAAGGAAGACGTGGTCTTAAGAGATATTTAGGGTTGCTGTATAATAACAGAATGTCTGCCTGTCTTAGTCTAAGTCACTTTGCTGCAGTAGCTGACCTGCTTTCTATGCATTCCTCTGAGGCTAGAAACTGTTGAGCACCTCATCATAAAACAGCAGGGGATAAGTGAAAGGAGGTATTGTTGGTGCTCCTTTCTCTGGTGAGTCAGTCAGAAGCCTCTCTGCATAAACTGGTTAAGTCTTTGTGAACCAGAGAGGAAGGAAAGGAAAAGAATGAAGATGCTGTATACAGGCAGATATACACAGACATATACATCCAAACAGTCATACACCCACACTCTAGCCGGGCCTGACTGTCTGTCAGTCAGCTCCACAAGTATTCATGCATGCTTATATACATACACATGTACCTACACACAAACGTACAGACAAACAGACGTATACATTTAGAAGGATGGATGGGTGGAGAGGGCAGAGCTCCCGCAGGCCAAACCATTCAACCAACAGCGTTCTTTCTTTTCTCTAGCCTTTTACACATTTAGACAACAGTTCTTCAGAAAATTACCTCAGGGATAAAATGTTAGCTCAATGGGAGTTACAGAAGGATGCTGATACTAAGTTCAAAGCAGTGTTTCATTCTATGTGCTCATTATAAGTTCAAAGCAACAGTTTTTACATGGCCTGGCCTTATCAGTGACTTTATCCTTGGACCTAAATGTCTTTCCTAGAACACAAGATTGTCTCAAGTCTATTTCTCTCTAGTGTGATCGTGAAAGCTCATTGTATTTGTTAGTATGCAGCCTTTACTTACTGTTCTGAGGAGTGGGCACACTCTATTCTTGATTCTAACTTTATTACATCTTTCTAGCAACTAAGACCATCTCTAAAAACTTTCTTCCTAAAATTATTTGAATCAAGTTAGAAATTCCATAGAATCGTTATCTGTCTACATAGCATCACCTCAAGAGACTACGTCTTCATAGGACGGCAGAAATCTGCGCAAAAGGGTGGGTCAGTACCTAGTCAATACCTAGTGACTGTTATATATTTAATAATAACAGGAAAAGCATATTAATAGCAGGAATCTTTCCTTAAATGTATTTCTCATGGGCCTTGTCTACTGGTGCAAATCCATCATAGATTTTAATCCAAGGCAGACTCATCTAGGAAGCTGGCCTTCTCGTTTTTACCTTCTCCTGTGATGGCTTGTGACCACAGTCCTTCCTCTGAAGGCCTGTAGGAGGCAGGAACTTGTAGCTCTAACATTTGATCTTTCTGTCAGGTGTGGCGGCAGATGCTGAATCTGGGGATCAAACCGAGTAGGCATGGCTACAACCTCCTGTTGGGAGCAGCTCGAGACTGTGGTCTGGGGGACCCAGAGATTGCCTTCAGGCTGCTCCTGACATCCCAGGAAGAGACCTTCCTGCTCCAGCCCCCAACAGGCAAGCATCTGGCAAGGAGGAAAGTCCAGGCCAAGACAGAGCATGGTATGTCAGTCAAACATGTGATGTCAGTCAGACATGTGGAAGCATTGGAGAGGCAGCTGTTTCTGGAACCTTCTCAGAAACTCGAGGGGCCACCAGCCTTTCCTGAGGCCAGGGTAACAAGCAGGATTCAGCCTGAAGTACAAACCAAGGCAGAACCTGGCCACATAGTAGCCCTCACCCCACTGGCCCTGAAACCCCCCCACTTGGAGCTGGAAGTCAATCTCCTAAGTCTTGAGACTCTCTCCCCCGCTGTGGTCTCTTTTGGGACAGTGGCCACACCCGCTGATAGACTGGCTTTGATGGGGGGCCTGGAAGGCTTCCTGGGCAAGATGGCAGAGCACGGGCTCCAGCCAGACATTAAAACCCTCACTCTGCTGGCGGAGGTGGTGGAACCTGGGAGCCCCGCAGAGTCCTCGCTGCTGTCCACCCTGGACAAGCATAGGGTGGAGGCTGACGTAACCTTCTTCAACACACTGATAAGGAAGAAGAGCAAGCTTGGAGACCTGGAGGGAGCCAAGGTAAGGGGCTGTCTACTGGGGACCCCCTTCTCTTCCCTCTCTGACTTTGGGATTCTAGGTCGTAGCTTACTAGTCAGCAGACATGTCTAGGTCTGGCCATATGTCAGGGTTGGAATTGAGCCACAAAGCAGCCAGCTGAACCACAGCCCCAGCACTCAGAGGAAGGGTGTGAAGGGCATTCATGGAGAAGGGCCGTGCTGACGTGCTGCGATGCTGGGGTCCAGGAGGCCGAGCCTGTCATTCCTCTATTACACTGAGGAGGGCTACATAAGATGGGCAGGGACTTCAGGAACAGGACTCTAGAGTTGTTCAACAGGCTTAACAATCACCAGAAGGGCTGGGGAGATGACTAAGAATACTGACTGCTCTTACAGAGGTCCTGAGTTCAATTCCCAGCAACCACATGGTGGCTCACAACCATCTGTAATAGGATCTGATTCCCTCTTCTGGTGTGTCTGAAGAGAGCAGTGGTGTGCTCATATACATAAAATAAATAAATCTTAAAAAAGAAGAGAGAGAGAGAGAGAGAGAGAGAGAGAGAGAGAGAGAGAGAGAGAGAGAGAGAGA